CACCAATTTTCAGAGAAGAAATCAGCGATGACAAGATTACAGACCAAAGCCTTTTTGCATTTGTGCCTGTGCATATTTGTGAATGCTCCTCAAGTTTGTGGGCACAGTGCCCCCGGAATGTACACACATCCAGTATGGCTGTTTGTCTAAGTATGTGCACGTGTCGGAGTTTGCTAATTAATACTGGTTCTGTGGTACAAACCATGTATGTGATTAAGTACAAACAAGTGTGTGCTGACCCATTTATTGGAAGTTAAGCTTAATGTGACTCAAGAGTTACGTGGAGGAAGGCAGAGCTGATAATGGAGTATTAGATTTTCTTATTTTTTATTTTATAGCAAATAAAATATTGTGATGTGTAAAGATTTATTTTTTTTTGCTTTCCACTAATATGTTTAACCGTTTCTATTGGAGACGTATATATCTCCAATATATATATAAACCCGGTTATGACCGGTGGGCGAACAGATCTCTTCCACACCTCTGAATACATTTTATTTATAAGTTTTCATAGTGTGAACAGTACCGTATGACAAAAATTATTTGAGGGGGAGAGTTGCATGGAAAAAACAATTATATCAGTAAGTTGAACTGAAAGAAGTTTCCAGGAAACTAATTGCAAGGGAAAAGTAAAAACTTTTAATTCAGTTCAAATAGTAGAAGGCTGAAGAAAATGACAACACATCTGAATAAGAAAATCACTTTCTGGGCGTGAAAGGTAAAAACCATAATTTTCCTTTAAGACTAAAGTTTCAGGCTTAGGTGCAGCAAGTATTTCCTTGCTTTGTTCCAAGCATATTGTTAGATTGGACAAAAGTCATGAAACTACAGCCAACTCTTGTCTGGGATTTTATTAAAGAGAAAAATACAGCAAGTCATCCTAACGTTGCAAATGACTCATCAGTGGCCTTCGGAAAGCTCCCCTGAGCCAGGCATACCGCTGATGAGGAAGCGATGAAGCTGCCAGGCCACTCCCCCAGACAGTTTCCCTCGAGGAGCGCAGCCTTCATAAAGGACGTCCCTCCAGACACTGTGTTCGTTTACTCTTTACTTTGCAGAGGGAGCACAGAAGCTGCAAGAAGGACTGTGTGAAGTAACGGCAGGAACTTCACAACCAGTTGTTTTCATACAGGAGAAGCAACTAGAAGACCATGAGGAAACTTTAAAGGTAGGGGGAAATACCTTTTAAAGTCTAGAATGTAGTTTTGACATTGAAAATTAATAAGAATATTAGCTTTCTTTTAAAACTTAAGAGTTCTTGGGAGAAGGGTGGAGGAGAATCGTTCTCTGGACGGGATCGTGGTCATGAACAGTTTCCCCTGGTAAATGGGATTTGGAGCTTGTCAAGGTCCTGGCCACTTTGGAGTGGAAGTCTAGGAAGCAGTTTTAGAGGGGAAGGTTGTAATCTGCTTTGCCTGATCTAAACTTCTAGTACATTTTGGTGAAGATTGATTTTGAAGAACCAATGAAAAATAAACAGTAGGGAATAAAAGCTGAAGTTTCTTAATCCACGTGAAAACATAAAGCATTTTTCTTAAAAGAAAACAAACTAGCATAATGTAAATAGCGAACTAAGCAAATTTCATTTTCTTTATATACATCATCAAGATACAGTTCTGAGTAGTTTGGTCTGATGAGCATGTGGGAGTTAGTCTGCCGTTCAGCTTCACACCATCCTGTTGCCACTGAGCAACCAAGAAGGCCTGCTTTGGAAAAGAATAATTCACTTCCTCTAATTTTATGTCCCTAAATATGAATAAAGTGAAACCGCATATCTTGGTACAGTATATGCTCCTTTTTCATGCGTATTCTGATTGCAGTAGGAAGTTTGAACTTGACCGATGGCCATGCTGGACAACTAGAAGAAAGGGGAACCACGCGCAGGGTAGATTCAGTGGTAGGGCCAGATATTGGGGTAGCAGAGCAGGAGGAGAAGAGGAAGGAAGATGATGTGGTTTTGGATGTTTTCGTAACAGTCACAGGTGTTTTCTAGTTTTTGTTTCTACTATTAACATGCTACCCAGGGTTATGAGATACTATTAAAACATAACTTTTTACAGGCAGATGCACAGTCCTGTGGTGCTGCTGTCTGATTTGCTGGAGGGATGGGGGATTCCTGCCGGCGATACGGCTGCACTGGCAGCAGTCTCTGGGGCAGACAGAGTTATACTCACAGAGTGGGAATAACCTAATCTCAGAAGAAGGTGACCTGGTAGACTAGGTTGAGCACAAAGGGCTGCTTAATGCAAAACAAAATTAAGATGAAAAGAGGAGCTTCTTTGAAGTTTTCCCTTTCCTTTTATTTGCTGTGACTATTCCAATAGTACTGCATCAAGTCCTACCTAGTTAGGCAGATAGAAACATTCTTTTTTGGTCTTAAAAGTTTTATCTGGACTTTATTTGATACTCACTGATACACATCAGTTGAGAAATCTTACATTTAGTCACTCCAGGTCTTGTCTAGCAGTTTCAGAGGCACTGAGAATTTTGCCAGCAACTCCAAAGGCTCCAAGGTCTGAAGCCCTGATAAACCTGAGCTTTGCAAATTAAGTACAAGAGCTCATTTTGGGAAGAATAATGAAGACAATGCAATGCCCTATGTGACATACAGTTGTCAAAACACATTTTAGGACTTATGGGTTGGTTTTCTGTGGTAGTAGTCATCTGATCAAGGAAAAAGAAAAGAATCTGTTGTGAAGCTGTAGTGATCACACTTGGTCTGTTTGGTGCCAAAGTTAGTTACAGTGCTAAACCAAAGCAATAATAAACCCAGGCATGTTACAAAGGTGTAGATATCAGAAATTGTTTTCTTCATTCAGTATTGTTCGTTCAGTTGTTAAGGCTGGTAATTGCAGATTATTACAATGTTGTATATGATTGTCATATTTTCCTACTAATATATGCAGGAGGAGGGGGAAAAACACTAACTAGGAAAGTCCAGGGCAGATAAAAAGACTAAAATAAATTAATGGAATGCCTTTGTCAGCAGGTATGTATCTGATCCTGGAGTACACAGTGTGAGGAGGGACTGGAGTTACATTGATTTGGAAAACTGAGCCCTGAGAGGAAACCCAGCACTTCGATGAATGAGAAAATTCATAGTTCAGTATCTAAGAGCTATTGAGCTATTCAAGGATGCATTAAGAAAAGGAAACTTTAAAAAGCTAATTAAAAGCAGAAGTCAGAAGATTTGGATGTGCTTATGTTCTCTTATCACAATATTTGCTACTGAAAATACTCATTTTTGAGCACTGTGGGTAATGTTTCAGTGTTCCCTAATGCTTTTTATTTTCTCTGCTTAGGCTTATAAGGAAGTCAAGGCTCAGAAATCCATGGAAATGAACGGGCAGACGCCGGGGCCGCGTTCCTACGACTATGATCTCATTGTCATCGGTGGGGGCTCGGGTGGGCTGGCAGCTGCCAAGGTAGGAGAGAAAATACAGATTTACACTTTCCAAGTAGGTGGATGACAGTCTCAACATCTTGGGTCTACGTGTCTTTAACACTGTAGGAGCATACCATTTCTGCCTGAGCAGTGGGATTTCTTTTGAGGTTAGCCCCAGTTATACAATATCCTTTTCCTGATGTTCTGAAGAAGAAAAACATAAAAATATCCCGGTATACTTCTTAACAGAGTGAAACTTACTCTTTCCTAATGGGAGGTGTTGCTTTTGGAAAACAGCAGGTAGATATCTCAACAGTGTTTATTAGTAGCTGAAATAAAATTCCACTTGTGACTGAAAATTTTTAAAACTATTCAGGATTAACATCAGGATACTTCTAGTTTGATCTGAAAGTAATACGTGTTCAGAAAAAATTACGTATGTTGTTACAGTTCTTTACAGTGGGGGAGATTTGTGATTTGTGAGCTTACCTAGTTGCATAAATGGAGATTTTGCCTATACTTAAGCACAGTGAGGATCTCACTCTTCATTTCTAGGGTCTGATACTTCCTGCCTGTCACCAAATAATTTATGATTTTTGGTTAGGATATTGCTTTTACAAGCATATCTAGAATTAATTAAAAGAATCCACAGTGGTGCAGAATATACCAGTTCTTAGAGTTGTCATTATCCCAAGTATCTGAAACATGATGAAATTTAGTGTGAATCAGTAACTCTCCTGTGCCCAACTACTGATGTAATAGTTGGGCACCTTTTGCCTTCTCTCACTGTGGTAGCAATAACTAGAAGTGAATTGAGCATTCCTAAAGGTCTTCCTTGCTCAAGACCTGCAGCTGGATTATTCCTTCAGACAGGAGGCGTCTCTTTTGTTCTTGAGATGTGAAGGAGTGAAAGAAAATGAGGAGAAAATATTTCAGCATAGCCTTGAATTCACACTGAACCTTGATCCCTTAGAGGAACTTCTGTTACAACAGCAGAGTGCAGTGCTGAGTGGTGGATTGTAATGTGCCACATGACCATAATCTATTTCAGTAGTTTACTGTGTTCCCATTGATAGAGGCACTATTGTCATGGTATAGCAAGGAAGATAAGATCTGTAAAAACTCTGAGAACCTGCAAAGAGAAGCAGACACTGGTTTGCAGAGATTGAGGATGTTTTAAGAGAGAAGAGAGTAACAGGAGTAAAAGGGGACTTGCAGTAATGAAAAACAGTTTGCAGTAATAAAAAGTCATCTGTTGGAAATTTCCACGAGGAGACTGCTGTGCTTGTTGTATACGTGTGCTAAGTTGTGAAGCTACAGCTGTGATGTTCATTGAATCATTTTTCAGCTGTGAGATAGAAAAGGTGTGTAGCTAAGAATACAAATTGCCTTATTCCTTCAACTCAGTGCGTAAAGTATATTGCTTCGTAGTGATTGTAGAGTAAAGCAGAAGAAGACAGATCAGTAAAGTTGACGTCACTATCAGGAATAATGTATTTCGAATCGGCTTCTTGAAGTGGAGCTGTTTTACACATGTAAACTTCTGACTTAGATTATTCCAATTTTTTTTAGTGAATTAACAAACAGTGCTTTAGAAACCAAAATAGAACAGAAGGATAAAATAAACCCAAAAACTACACAGCTCTTACATCAAGTTCCAGATGTCTACAATCAGGTTTGCAGCAGTTTAACTGGACTGATTAAATGTGTGCTTTTCACTATGACAAATGCAGCTTTGTGTGGATGATTTCCTTTTCCTCTCCATATTGTGCCCAGAGCTTGTTACTTTAGAGGCACGACTCCACAGTGAGTGCAAATGCTGCCAAGCTGACCGTGCAACCCAACTGCAGGCCCAGACCAAAGCACTAGGCTGCTACTGTCAGCAGACACAGGGCAGCTCTGGCCCTGAGCAGCCTTGTGTTCATGCAGCACTGCACTGAAGCCGGTAAGGTTTGAGAGCCTTGGGGGCAGGTGCTGCTGCTGCGGGTGTATTGCTCTGCAGAAGTGGTTGTATCTGTCTGTGATCTCCACTGAGGCGCTGATGCAGTGCTGTGCTGTGAGTGTAGAGCTGACTGTAAGCTTGGGAATCCATCCCTTCTACTCCTGTAAAGCTCTTTTGAGCTGTGTATAAGAGTTGGCATTATAGAATGTTAATAATGCATCACAGTCCCTAAGGACCTTTCTGAGGAACTTTCTCAGAGGTGCTACTAATGGATATAAATTAGAAATTAGCTTCCAGGCCAGCCTTGACCGACACTGGAAGCTGGAATCCAGTACACTAATATTTTGCAAAGGTGTCTACAGCCTGTGTTGTTTGAAATATGATTTGTATTTTGCACAGATACATTTGAAATTGAAATTCTTATTGTCAACTATTTGGATTGACAAGTATTACTGGTATCATAATGCTAAAGGCTGTCCAGCTGCTCCCAAACCAAGCCCAAGACCTTAGGGTACTATCCTGTCCTTGTAGTTGTTATTGCTTACGTGTCTAAGGACTCATCATCTGATGCAGCACAGTTGTGGCTACTCCAAGTATCAATTATTTTGCCACATCTTATGGGGGAATCTGCCATTGTTGTCTCTCAGGTATGTAGGGCATGCTTAAGTGTTCTCTGGTGCCAGTTGTCACTGTCAATTTTTGCCTTTTTCTTAAAAAGCACAAAGGGGACAGTAGAATCAGTATAGAAATTCCAGTTCTCAGTGTCATTTACACGCATTGATTGCAGACTTGCTAGTGAAACTTCTCAGGGGAAATATGAAATAAAGCATCACTTTTCTAGTCTGGATGACATCTGCACATCCTGACACAGAAAATCAGCTTGCTGCAGGTTGACTAGCTTGAAGAGCAAAAGTTGATCTTAACAGATAGAGATTGTACTCAAAATCAAGTGTTCCCTTCTACTACAGGAAAAAAAGATTGGATAAGTACAATCGGAATGCTTGGCTGTGTGACTGCTTATGTCTTTGTGTGATGAGGTTTCAGTCAAATATTTGAGAAACCATCTTTGAAGGAGAAACTGGATTAATGAAGAATTTGTTTAATACATTGAAAGTAAATAGCATGTTGGGAAATAGTGTGAACAAACTGGCAGGATGGAGGAGAGAAGAGGAGGTTTGACTCTCAGCAACAGAGGTTTAACTCTGTGTAACAACTGCTTCCATGCTGTTGTGCAGTAGGATGAATGACTATTTTTTACCTTTCATCTTTTTTTTCCTACTGAGTTCACAGATTAATGCTGAAGATTAATGACTGTCTGGCTGTTCCTTGCAAATCATTCTTTATTACTTAATTAAAAGTCACAAAGCTTTTCAGCAATGCACGATGTTATCATCTACTCTGAGTGTAACATCTAGTGTTTAGATCCATCTTATTTAATTTGTTTTGCAGGAGGCTGCCAAGTATGAAAAGAAAGTGATGGTGCTGGACTTTGTCAGTCCTACGCCGCTAGGAAACTCATGGGGTAAATTTCTTCTCATTGCAAACCTGTTATAAAGGAGCTTTACTCAGAGGCTCTGTTTCTTCTTTGAGATCAGCAACACTGATGTGTTAAAAACCACTTTCTGTTTCTTTCTTTCAGGTCTTGGAGGAACATGTGTAAATGTGGGCTGTATACCTAAAAAACTGATGCACCAGGCAGCTTTACTGGGACAAGCCTTGCAGGATTCACGCAAATTTGGATGGCAGTTTACAGAAGAAGGTAAGAGGAGAACACTTTCTTCCAGTTTTGTCATTTCTGCTGAGGTTCTTTTCACAGTCAGGTGTGTGTTGCATGCAAGCATGTGATGACTTTAACAATGTGAGGCAAATTCAGAGAGATTGCACATAAACTTCAGCACTTTTCAAGTCTAAAGCCACAGGGTTTATCGCTTTGCAGCATTTGATCTGTTCATTAATAGCTTCTGGTCATGTTAGTACTGGATAAGATTGCTGTGTGAATAAAAGCAATAAGGTACTACTCTGTTTCTGAATGTAACACAACGTCTAAGGGAATGCCCTAGAATGTCCCCTGTTAGAAACTTCCTCCTAATTGCAGGTGAGGATTTCCTTTCCCTCAGTCTCTATTGTTACTACATAAGAAGATGAATTTTACTTTATACTAGTTCTAATCCATGTATTTCTGAGACTGAGATTTTAGGGTGTGATTGCATAGTGGAGAACATGCAGAGGCACCTCTTGGAGATGCATAGGCTTAGTTTACTAAACAATGTCACCTGCTTACAGCATGAGTCAACAGAAAACTATTGATATCTAGTAAGTCTGCATCTTCTATGTTTAAAGTCATATCTGTTGCGCTGTGACCTCTCATGTTCGTCCAAACTGATGTAATTCTTTGAATTCCAGTAGAGTTACCCTGGAATAAAAAAGGAATTGAAAAAATAAGTGACTGGATCATGAAAAAAAAACCTTGTCTGACAGTACAGAGTTTTCTATGGAAAAATAGCTCACAGACTGGAAATTGAACTTTTCTCTCTTGCTTCTAACAGTCAAACACAACTGGATGACTATGACAGAATCTGTTCAGAATTACATTGGTTCACTGAACTGGGGCTATCGGGTTGCACTGAGAGAGAAGTCAGTCACGTATGAGAACGCATATGGAGAATTTGTTGGGCCACACACAGTCAAGGTATTCCCTAGCCATGTTTGCTGGGTCTTCCTATAGTACTTTCTGAAGAGAGATGCTTTTCAGATAGAGTAATTTCTCCCCTTCACAGAACTGCGAAATATTCAGTTTGAATTGATACTTTGTCCACAGGCAACAAATAAAAGAGGAGGTGAGAAGCTGTACACGGCTGAGAAATTCCTCATTGCTACTGGTGAACGACCACGCTATCTGGGTATACCTGGAGACAAGGAATACTGCATCAGCAGGTTAAACCAGAGAGAAATATGAAGTCATTTGCCCTGTGTAAATGCTTCATCTATAAGAGAAAGTGGCAAAGCATAAGCAGGGCTGCTTGCTTGCTGGTTTTCTTTCCTATGTAACTTTTTGTTAGGAGAAAGTAAGTGCAGGAGGATAGCTATAGACAGACTTTAAGGTGCCAGAAGCATTGGCGTCTATTAGACACCACAGGACTGTGGGTGGCTGGCTGGAATGGTTCTTTTTCTTACTGGTAACAGCAGTAACCAAGAATACTGTAAAACATGTGTGCCCATCATAAAATTAATTAATCTGCTCTGCTCCAGTTACCAGTGCATCCACTTCCTCTCTATTCCTTCTGGTTTTGAAATTTTTTTTGGGTAATGAAGAGCACTGTCTGGTTGGAAGAAGCCTCCCTGCTCAAATATCAAGGAAAGAGGGAGTTGCAATGCAGATGATGTTGTGAAGCCTGTAGAAATATATCTGCCTTCATGCACTGGGGCGATCTTGAAACTCAACCCAAATTTTTCTCCAGCTACTCAGTGAAGTTACTTCAACGTTTGGGAAAACTGATTTCAAGTGTTCGATTAACTAAGAAGAGAAAGCAAATCTAGTACAATTTTGAGCAAAAAAAAAAAGGGGTATGCGGATGAACTGTGTTTTCATATCAGGGTAACTTTTAAGTTACGTAATGTAGAAGCAGAGATTGGAATTACGGGCTTGCAAGCCTATAGTAATGAAATAAATAACTGGCATTATCCGTGTGATACCACACTAACATCTTGTATGTGTCCCTTCTAATAAGTAGTAATGAAATTAGGGGTAACAGGTAATATGGCCTGTAAAGTGGTGCTTTAAAATCACATTAAGGTGGAAGAGTCAGGAATGACAGAGTTAAAGACTACCAGATTGAAGCTGTGTGTGTAATCTTCACTGGATTCCCTGGGGGATAGGAACTATGATGTAGCCTTTAATTACACAATCACGTTTAATTCCACCACAACATTTGCAGAGAGCGTCTTTGTTTAGTATTTGTAGTTGTTGGCTGAGAAAGAGACACTTTATTTTAGATTTAAATCTTTGGAGAATTGCATTGCCAAACATTGTCTAAGTCTCTGCTGAGCAAACATGATGCCTCTGTGGGTGATGCTTCCTGGAGAAGCCCTGGTTTTATAATCTAGGTCCAAAGTGTGGTAGAACTGACATAGCTTGATGAAGCAGTTGAAAGAAATGGAAAGCAGGTAAATAAATAAACATGTTTTCTGTAATTTTGAACTGCCTCTACCTGTTACTGCGGTTTGCATGAATTTGTTTTATTGTCTGTGTATATTCGGCACTGTGTATAATGCCTTAGCAAAAGGGTAAGTCTTCAAAGAAGTGGAGATTGTATTTTTATCTTAAAACTGAACCTCTTCCTCTTCCTTTTAGCAGTCAGGAGCTAAAACTTGCAACAAAATACCTGAAGCAAGAGTCCAAGGGAAAAGAAAAATCAACCTACTTTTTTTAACAATTTGTCCTAAGTTTCTGTATAAGAAAAACCTCAGCATTTTTGTAGTGATTCAGAATTTTCATTCTTTTTCTTTGTGTGTACTCCTAATTAGAACCTTTAAATTTGTCATGTACTGATCTTTCACTCCAGCTGAATTTCCAAAGTTGTTGATTTTTTATCAGTGAGCAGGAAAGGAATAAACTCATATTCTTACAGAAGAAATTAGATAAATATGAAGCACAATACATTCTTCTGATTGTCTCTAACTTTCTTTTCTTTTTTCCCCACTTTTTTTTTTTACCAGTGATGACCTTTTCTCTCTTCCTTACTGTCCAGGGAAAACCCTGGTGGTTGGAGCTTCCTATGTTGCCTTGGAATGTGCAGGATTTCTTGCAGGTCTTGGGTTAGATGTCACTGTAATGGTGAGATCCATCCTCTTAAGAGGATTTGACCAAGATATTGCAAATAAAATTGGTGAATATATGGAAGAACATGGAATCAACTTTATTAGGGAGTTTGTGCCCATCAAGGTAGGTTCAAAGTGGTACATGACTACAATTGATGGCAATATACCTGTCGTAATGTTTGAAGATGTAGTGAATACAAAAGCTGAATTTGCAATATAGGATCTGCTATGATATAGTATGGATTATTTTGTATTTTAAACTGAGCAAGTCCACAAATTTTATGTAATCAAAAGGTACAATTTAGTCTTAATATTAAAATTTTATGAGATTGGAGAATTAATTGTTTTTAGCAGAATTAGATGGGTTAGTGTATGTTGCATTAAGAATGTTGTTACTCCAGCTCATCCTGGTCCTGCAAATTTTGAGTATACTTAAGTTCAGCAGTTGAAATTTCATGCAGGCTCATAATTAAGCAGATAGGTAATTTCCTGTAAGGTCAAGGCCAGTGCATCACAACTAGCCATATATTTCATTGCCAGTTCTCAAAGTCTAAGCCAGCAAATGCTGCGTATGTGCCCAGCACCAATGGACTATCCAGAAAAGTAAATGGGCTTTAGAAATATCCATCTACATCCTTAATCTAGCAGAGTTCTGAAATACTTGCCCAGCTTTTACTGAATTGAGTAAGAGTACTTGTGCAGCCAGTTGCACACCTGTACAGGCAAATTCAGTTTGGAAAGCAGATTAGATAAGATCTGGAGCTTTTCTCATGTAAAACAAGGATTTCAGAGGGTGCTACAGTATTTTGCTTAATTATTTTTTTTTTCACAATAATTAGTGCTTAACCATTATGAAATGGGAAATAATGTATTAAGCAGTTTTCAATTTGGTGTTAAGCTAGAGGGTTACCAAATTTAACACTTTAGGGATTAAAGCATTAATTTCAGTGGAGACTGTTCATTTTCATCCTTAGCAACATCAAGAGTAGCTTAAAAAATGCTCTTGCCAGTTACCCTGCTGTGGATCTGACCCTCTCTCACAAGTTGTAAGATATTTGCTGGGAAAAGTCGAAGTGGATGTTTCAAGGAACTTTGTTTTTATGCATGTTTGTGTTGCAGAAATCCATGTTGTATGAAAAGGAGGGATGATGATGTAGCTTTTGCATCACACTTAGCTTTTTGTAGGCTCTAATGGGGGATGAGAAAAAAGGAAGCTGGTTTTATGAGCAGATCATGTCCAGCAGATGACAAGCAGGCACCCTGCAAAGAGCAGTCCATCACCCTAGTCACAAAATACACTTTTGGTATTTTACCCTGTCCCTTCTCTTTATGCCTTTGATTTCAATGGGAATAAAATATTCAGCTCTGTTTCTACTTGAGGATATCCTTAAATTTAAAATGTTGGGGTTGTTTTTAGCAGGCCTGCTCATCTCTTTCAAACATTGTTTTTGAAGTTATGGATGTTGTGCTTATTAAAAACCTTCATGGGGGGATGTTTGAAGACAGAAGATGAATTGTTATAAATAATGCTGCCTTTGAACAGGAGCAATTTAACATTATGGTCCTTCAAAATTGGTAGGAGGGCATAGAAGGTTCGGGGTATTTTAAATTAAAAAGAAATTATCAAGGATGGGTAAAACAGAACCTTGTCAGAAAACTTTGCTTTTTCTGTCCCTAAATACTGAATATGAAGTAGAAACTAGGGCAGCTGTTGAAAAGTGCTTTTTCATCTGTAGAACGAATACTAAAGTTTCCCAGCAGTAACATCGGCATGGCACACTCAGGTGTGTACTGAGATGCACTCTTGTATGTGCCACCAGCTGTGGGAGGGAACTGGGCAACCTGCCGTGTCCTGGGAGGGTAAGGGACGGACTGTAGTGGGGGATACCCAGTCCTTTCCTCACAGCCCAGAGCACAGAAAATAACCCACCTATGTAGCTTTGAATTCCATTCACTTGTTTGGTTGATGCATTTATCAGAGGAAAAAAGGAATGTTTTTTAAAAAGCTAGTGGTGTTGCTCTTTTTGTTTTATTGTTTTCTGGTGTATATGGGTGTGGAAGGGGGTGTATTTTGAGTTTTCTTTTGTTTTACATAAACCTTTATTTTTTTTTTATTACTCTGAACAAAGAGCACAGCTGCAAAAAGATTCATCTTTGCTGCTTTTTTTTTGCTGTTGTTTGCTACAGTAGACAGTAAGCTGCTGCATCACTTGAGAGAGAATGTGCAGCTGGATCCTTAGCTAAAACTAGGAATATTTATTCCAGCTAACTCTGGGGAACTCTGAAGAGGTTTTTTTCTAAGCTGATGGTGTTTTATCAGACGTTTAGAGCCAGGTGCTGCCCTCTCCTGCAAGGCCATGGCAGCTTTATATGCCAGACTAATGTCATTTGAAACAGGGCAGAGGCCTGTACTGCTAAGGGCCAGGCTCTGATAGTGCCTTCCCATGGGTGGAAGGCACAATGGTCCTCTGGGTGCAGTTGGAGAAAATGTGTGATGGTGTTTCCAGGTCTTCCAAGAGTTCCCTTCTTCCTCACCTCCTCTGTCCCCAGCTGATACCAGCAGCTTGCATGGAGGGCTTGGACGAGAACATAGTTAACAATCAACTTCTATAAATAGAAATGAAGCCTTGCTTTGTGGTCATAAGTGCATAGAGAAAAAACAAAATGTTTAAATATTTAACTAGTAATCACAAAACTAGAGAAAGGTGAAAGTATCTTTAGAATAAATGCTTAATTTTAGGTCATGGTTAAATAGTCTCAGTGATATGAGGTGGAACAAAGATGCAATTGCATATCTTTATTTGAAACTAACCCCTTTTTTCTCTCCTCCCACCCCAAAAAAAACCTGTTGTAGGTTGAGCAGATTGAGGAAGGAACTCCTGGAAGACTGAAAGTTATAGCCAAGTCCACAAATGGGAACCAAATAATTGAAGGGGAATACAATACTGTGAGTCCTGTCCGTATACATGAAGAATGTGAAATAGCCTTCTGTTTATACGTTAAGATATTGTGAGCTGGTTTTATCCATAATTTAATTTTTAAAAAAAAAATATTTTAATCATTACAATATCCTAATTGCACACAATGCACAGGTAATTAATGTGACAAAGTCCTGGACTCCCTGGGCATGGATCCCATGTTCCTTGCCAAATCATTTACACACTTTTGAAACATGTTTCTTAGCTTAAGGGTATAGATGAGCTTGGTCATGTGGAATCAGTTGCAAGATTTTTCCTCCGTGGGATATTTGTCATAAACAATAAGTAATTATTTCTAATAGCTTTCACAGAAACTAAAGCATGTTCTGGAGTTAGCACAAAACAATGGTCTGTGCAAGAGATACAAATGTGTGCTGGGTCTTCTCAAGACCTGTTCTTTACAAAAACAACTAATGCCTTGTGGCAAGTCAGTCAGAACACTTCATGACACACTTAAAACAGAAAAATTGCAGTGTGCAGGTATGCCATTATGTTTGATTGACTGTTTCCATTACACCACTCATTTTCTTAGGCCTTGATGCTGAAAGGAAAAAACAAAAAGAGTTGTGAATAAAGTATTTGGAACTACACAGAATGCATAAAGACAAGCATTTGCCAGCCTGGGGTTTTAGACTTCAAATACTGTGTGCCAGTAACCTTGTTTCCCTGTATAGTGCATCAGTCATCTCCTAACAGGGACATGCCTCACTGCATCACATGGTTAGGTCATGATGGTGGAGTGGCTTGACTTGAACTCTGAGGACGTACAATGGGTAACAAACGTATTCATCTTGATGTGCCCAAGCCTTAGATACTAACCCTTGGTATGTAATAAAAATAATAGATACCCACATGCAAATGCACTTTTGAGGTTTTAAAAAAAATGAGTAACGTGCCTTGCTGTTTTGCAGGTGTTGCTAGCAATCGGAAAGCATTGGCTTGGACAAAGTTGGAGTGAAAATCAATGAAAAGTAAGGACAGGCGTCTGTACACCACTTGATACTGAGCTTGTGCCATTTAGTGGACTTTACCCTGTCGCTTCACTAGATGCATTTGGTTTCAGTGGGAATGAAATATTTGGCTCTATTTCTAGTGGAGAATATCCTTAAATTTGGCTACCACAATGGCAGTGGCGCATAGACATTCAAACGCCTTGAGGAAGAATTTGTTCCCTGTTTGCATACTCTTGGATTGAAGGCTCCGTATTGGAGCTGCCTTTTCTCCAGCAGTGCTGCCACTTTTGCTCTTTTGATACTGAAATATCACTTCCTAGATGCTGGGAGTCTGAAGTGTCTGTTCCATTCTGTCTAGGTTCACAGGTCAGTCTCAGCTTCTTCCAGTGACGGGGCTTTCTAGGATCTAGTTGTTCCTTGTACTCTTATTCCCATCTCCTTTTATCTCTAGTACCTCTTGGGGGCAGAGATATGTTTGTTCATATAGGCTTTTAGTTTGTGGTGGGTTTTGTTTATATTTTAATGTAAACACCACTGTATCTTTTGGGGTTTTTTTATATAGAAGATCAAAATAGCATTCCTTAAACTCAACAGTTGGAGTTGTAGATACATTTTAGGTTTTGGAGGAGTTTATTTCTTGCCTTAAGCAACCCTTGGGAACAAGCTCTGTAGAGGAACACTTCATGGTTTATGTAGTGAGATCGTTGTACCAAGGAGTGGAGCTATGGGTAATGTTTTCAATATTGGAAAATAAAATATCTTCTAGGCATGTAGGACCTAGACAATCTTCTCTTTGAAGAAAAGACAGAGGACCATGAACTTGACTTGGTAGTCCATTGAAGAACATTGCAGAGGGCAGCTTATGTATGAACACAGTGACTGATGTTGCTGAAGGGAGCTGTTGCAATGTTCTAAATAAGTAGAAATTTTGGTCCACTTAAAATTGGCTGAACCATGTTGTCTTGTAGAATAGTACACACATTTCTGTCATCAGAACACCTGTTACTAGCTTAAGAGAATGAACCATAAAATTATCAGCATAAACTGTGTTTTTGTTAACAAATAAAACTGAGAAAGTTGGAGTTTAATATGGGAGTCACCACTGGTCTCTCAAGTAACTGTGTGACTGCTTCTATGCCTGTCTGATGAGGTTTTCCTGTTACTACACGTGTTTCCTGCAATGATTACTGCACTATCTCATCCATTAATGGAGTAGGAAATCTTAATAATTAAAACCTTCCATTAGCTCAGTGCACTTGGAGCTAAAGAGCATGCTGGCTGTCCCTTAACAGCCATACCACTGACACCAGCTTGACTTGTCTCTGTGTAGAAGCCTGAGGAGTAAGTTTATAGAAACTGCTTCAGCTACTGGACTGGAATTTCAGTAGCAGAGAAATTCTTTTGTCCCACAGCTTAACTGGGGGAATGTCATTCCTCAGGGATGCCAGTACATAGCTCAGCTGGTGGTAGAGGTTTTCTGCCTGACTAAAGAATTGATTCAGGAGGTAAATCACAATTCACGGGCTGCCTCCTTATCCAGTGTGTAAATTCCTGTGGTTTTGGTCAAATTTGCACTATTTTACATTCTTGCCTGAGATGGTAAGATTGTGAATATGTCTTCTTTCCTTTATACTTCAAATACACGTCTTTCTCTTAAAGCTAAAGGTCCTAACTCCTGTAAAATTATTCACAACTCCAGTCTTGACAGCAGAACACTTGAATCTTTTTTTCTTGTTAATTCAAATTGCAGAACAGGAAAAATTCCTGTCAACGACGAGGAACAAACAAACGTGCCATATATCTATGCTGTGGGAGATATACTGCAAGACAAGCTGGAGCTCACACCAGTGGCAATCCAGGCAGGAAGATTATTAGTTCAAAGGCTTTATGCCGGGGCAACCAGTAAGGTAAGGAACCAGTTGACACAAAGCACTGTCCTTGCTCTGTTTCTAAGTGCAGAATGCAAGTCTGCTTGTTTATGGAAAACCTGGTAGGCTTTTAAGGATTAGCTTTGATGATCACTTTAATTTTCCTCTTGCAAAGATGTTACTGCAGATATGTTCTGCTAATTGTGCTGTATGAAATTAGTACCTTCTGGATTAAGCAGTAGTCTCTTTTTTTTCCTATTAAGAGGTTTTATCTCTCTGAGTATAATGATAATAAAATTAACTGAGGTAATTTAACTTTTTTTAACTCTAATGCCTTCCCTAAATGTTAGCAGTCATTCCCATCCCATTAAATGCTTTAACTCTAATTCACAGGCAGTTTACTAAACCTGCCTACAGTCCCAAAGTAGAGTGTAATAGGGATTTGTGAAGCTCTTAATTTTCAATGTTATTTCCACTAGTTTTTTCACTTCTCATCCATATGTTTTCAGTGTAATACATAGTTCTGCTTATAATTGAATATGGGCACAATGGAAAATCAGATGGACCAATAAGTCAGCATGAATTTATACCTGAAAAGTTAAATTAATTCAGTGTTCACATTTCATACGAGTGCAATTGTGGGTTTTAGTCACATTGTGCTAGTCCAAATAGGAGTAACACGGGTCCACATTTACACCTTATTTTTAAACCAGCAGGAAAGGACAATGCCTTTAAAGAACTGTTGTGCTAGCACCACTGGTGTGGGTACTTGTCTCGCTTTCTGTAACCATAGGGCATGAGCATAAAGGGTTTTCTGTTTTACAGCCTGCTGTACTCAGATCAAGTTCAGCTGTCAGCCAGATTTAGAGCTTGACTGAGTTGGTTATTTTAGGTGGGCAGGTACTTCAGTAACAGAATTCTGAATCAGTGTGCATGATGTCATTATATCAGCCAGGCAAAGTTTAAGGAAACCATAGCCAGAGCCAGATTTTTTTTTCTTGCTGCAATAGTATGGATATGTCTTAATTTACATTACATGCCAGATAACTGTCTCTCAAGGTATGAAAATCCTTATGCTGCCAAGAAGAGTATTATCTGTTTCATTGAACCCGAGAAACGAGTAACTACTTAGATGGGAACCTGACTTGCATTGCTGTTATAACAGCTGTGGAAAGGATGGTTGTAGGAAATGTAATGAAGTGTTATGGGTAGGTGGGGAAAGAATAGTAAGCAGCATGACAAAAGGAAATTCATTAGAGTTGAAATGTGCAGAAATTAAAACTACTAGAAATTAAATAGGGCTGACCAGCCTGCTAGTCTGCTATGGCAGAATGACTGATGTGGTAGATATGGGGAGAGCAGTGGATGTCCTTTACTTTGACTCTAATAAAGGCTTTTGACACTGTCTCCCATAACATTCTCATAGACAAAACGGTGAAGTACAGGCTAGGTAAGTGGGCAGTGAGGTGGATTGAGAACTAGCTGACCTGCCAGGCTTAAAGGGCTGTGACCACCATTGCAAAGACCAGGTGAAGGCCAGTCACTAGTCATGTGCCACAGGCTTAGATACTCGATCCAGTACTGTTTAACATCTTCATTAATTATCAGGATGATGAGACAGAGTGCACCTTCAGTAAGTTTGCAGATGATACAAAATTAGGGGGAAGTAACTGATGCAACCAGTGTTTATGTTGACAGTCAGAGGGACCTCATCAGGCTGGAGAAGTGGGCTGACAGGAATCCCACAGAGTTCAGCAAGGAGAAGTGCAGAGTCCTGCACCTGGGGAACTGTAACCCTGTGCACTAGCACAGGCTGAACACCCACCAGCTGGAAAGCAGCTGTGTAGAGAAAGCCTTTGGGGGCTCTGGGGAACAACTTAACCAAAGCCAGCAATGTGAGCTCATGGCAAAGAAGGCCAGTGACCTCCTGCGCTGGATCCTGGCAGAGCGTTACCAGCACGTGGAAGGAAGTGACCTTTTTCCCTCTACTTTGCTCTGGTGAGACAGGTGTGGATTTTTTGTCCGGTTTTGGGCTCCTTGGTTTGAGGATGGGGAAAGTCCATCAAAGGGCTGTGGCTATTATTAAGGGACTGGAGCATCTGACACATGAGGAGAGGCTAAGACAGCTAGGAATTTTTATACTCTGCAGAAAAGATGGCTTGGGGAGCACCTGTGTCAATGTGTATTTGTACTGATGGTAGAGAGTAAAGAAGATAGAGCCAAACTCTTTTCAGAGGTATAAAGTGGAAGGACAAGAAGCAATAGATTCAAACTGAAATGTGGGAAAATTCCATTTAAACATAAGAAAAAAACTTAGCATTGAGAGTGATCAGGCCCAGAGGTTGCCCAGGGAGGGAACCTTTAGAACACTCTAAAGCTCCAGTGAAGTCAGGGGTCAGTGTTTGCCTCCCATGGGATGTGACTGGGCACACAGCACCAGCTCTGGTTCTAGCTTCCCCCAAATGGATGCAGTTCATGTTTTTGGTGCTTTGGCATTGCCAAGATAATGGTTTTTGGATGGTGGTGATGTCTTTGCAGCATCCCCAGCTGAAAATAGCATTCTCTGTAGAAGCAGTTGAACAATCTACTTTTTATCTCCAGTTTGACCTGTGATCTAGTACTTATTTAAAACAAGGCACTGAATTTCCTCTTCTTTTTAATCTGTGCATACTAATGTCAGTGGGACTTTAAACTGTCTTTCTCTTCTCTGTAGCTTAATTTAAATCAATTAACCCAAAAAAAACCAACAGCTTTCAGAATTATGAATAATCCAGCTTTTCTTCCTGCCTTTCAGACATCAGAGTTTTTACCCAGCGTGTTCATTTTATTGCTAATGTCCTGTGGGTTTTTTTTTTGTTCTGTTTTGAATGCCACAGTGTGACTATGTGAACGTTCCAACTACAGTATTCACTCCTTTGGAGTACGGAGCCTGTGGGTATTCTGAAGAGACTGCGGTGGAGAAGTTTGGGGAGGAAAACATTGAGGTGAATCCCTTAATTTCATCTGGATTGTATGTTCCCAATTCGTATTTTAAAATAACCTTAATAGCAAATTAAAACAGTGTTCTGTGTGTAAGGGCAGGAGGCGACTGGCTACATTTTTGTCTTGGTGGTTCCTAGGCATGTCATAAAAATAGTCCCCAATTCCAGTTGCTCTGGTTGTAAATATGTTCTATTTTTGGCAAACAGGGCTTGGAGGTAGAATAGTTGGTTAAAAAAAAAATAGTTTCTTTGGGTCTGCAGATGCTTCAGGATACATTAAAGCTGGTTGTGTGCTGGAAGCAGTACATTGGTTTTAATGTCAAATTGGAGGTTTTAGTCGCTACAGTGTGGCAGATCCCTTGGTGTGGTGATTTATAAAGCCAAATGCTGTTATGCTTATTTTTCCTGTTTATTTTGACTATGCAAGGAGGTGTGTGCTTAATTTTACTCATGTGAGTGATCTCTTTTCATTCACTTTTCTGGTCAAGAGTGAAATCACACATATGTAAGCACTTAGTGCCTAAGGCTGTTCTTAGAAAATACTGTACAGAACACTTTACAGAAAGTGTGAAGGGAGGGAGTCTTGACAATAAACAACATTTATGTCCTGTGAAGATCACCTGAGGAGCATTATTTGGGGAAAGAAGCAAGTAAGTGGTGGCTTATAAAGTGGAGAAATTGTCTCCCTCTTAGTTTTGTCAATAATGTTTTTTTGACGTCGGCTGTGGAGAAAAGTAGTAAGTGTGACTTAAAAATGGCAGTGTCAAGTACTATTAACCTGACATCAGGGCAGAGGTTTAAATTCTGTTTTTCCCACAAAGTTCATATATACCCAGGCAAATGTTGGTTACTGGGTCAGATTCTTGCTGTTACATGTGTTACACTGGATCCTTCTTTGTGGAAAATGCACTTCCCATCTTCAAAGCCATTTTTGCAAATATGCCTCCAGAAGCATTTATATTGTGGCTAAATCCTAATTTAGTTTATTCTGAGCTCTATATCATGTCACTGTATTGACTTTTGCAAGCTTTAGTAGGGTTATTGAGTTGCATCTGTCATTCAGACCTGTTAAATTTCAGTTTCAGATAGTGATGATTATAAATGCTTTGTAACCAAATTAATACGGAAAAAATTTGAGCTTTCTCTCCTGGTTTGTGAAGGGACATATTTTTACTGGAGTTGTGATCAGTTAAACATCTTTCAGAGAGTAATCAATCTGAGGTTAGCTTGTAATGGGAGCTGGTGAGACTTCTGTGCCTCAAAACACCCTGTATTTTTCTGAGACACGTGCTGTGCAGGTGAGTGAGCAACCTGGGCTGCAGTTGGGAATCTGTCCAGTGATGTTGGCTAGTGCAGACAGAAAAATGCGGTTTGGAGATTGTTTTGTTTGTCTGTTGATGAGGTTTTTTTTTAATGTACTTTCCATGCTGCAGTGATACATAGTCTAAGAAAGCATGAAAAATCATGACATCATCTCTTTTAAACCCAGGCTCTGAGGCTACTTCTCTCCTTTTTCTACTCTGAGAAAAAATTGTGCCTTCATCCTGGACAGACCCAGAAGCAATACAGTTGTCCATAAAGGAAGTTTGTATTTGTTTAGTTTAATAAGAACATGGTAAACTGCATCCTGGAAGTGTAATACACTTACAGCTTCCTTTTTTTTTTTTTTTTTAAATTATTGGATGACATTAGTGCTTTTTTTGTAGATGTTTCCTTCGTTGGCATTCACCAAGGGGAAATAGTCTCACCCTGATCTCAAGTGCTCTGAATTCTATGTGCGTGGCTGATTGCTAATAAAGAGTTATTAGTTAATGGTTCATTCTTGTGCTGTGTCACAACTGTTGAAAGTTTTTACATGTGTGATTTCCAAATGCAGTTGCAGTCAGTAGTAAAGCTCCACCTGTGGAGGTAGATGAGGCAAATATAAGATAACCTGTCAAGTTTTGGAAAAATCAAGCTCTCTGCTGTAAAATTACACAACTTTTTATTTTTAAACCCGTGTTTTATTTCTAGGTGTACCATAGTCATTTCTGGCCACTGGAATGGACTGTGCCATCCAGAGACAACAACAAATGCTACGCAAAGATAATTTGCAATATTCCAGACAACGTAAGTGCATCTTTCCTGCCAGGGAAAACAGCAGCTATGGGTTCCTCATAGGGAGCATTGATAATGACAGCTATAAACAGGTTATTTTTAACAAATGAAAATTAATTTAAATTTTTCTGCCTTGTGAAATGTAATAAATACTTAGAGTGATACAAAACTTTTGTCTACACAGAAGTGGCCCTTGATAAATTCTGCCATTGCTATAAGGATGTGATATTTCTTTCATATATGTAAAATAAGTAGAGATCTGTAAGACTGTTCATAAACTTCGAAAACTAAGCAAATCAATGCATGTAAAAATGATTAGAAGTTTTATTGGTTTATCTTATTCTCCCCTCCCCAAACTGGGACATTCTTTTCTGTGAGGTTCTCTGTGAAGCTGAGGTCACTCAGAAGCCATCATAACGTGTAACCTCAGCAAATCCACGTGTCAGAAATTCTAACAGGATTAACGTATCTAGCCTGCACAAATCCCATTTAGGGCAATGATGCCAGGATTATCCTTGGACTAGGATAAAATCTCCTGACAATGGGAATGTATGGTACCTGCTGAAGCACAAGCAAAATTAAAAATTGATTAAAAGAATTGGTGTGCCCCTCTCTGAATGATCATGTCCTGTTTCATAAAAAATTAGTTTATTTTAATAATATGAATTATTATAAATAATTATATGCTATTAAAACATGCTCCTAGTGGCATAGAGTTATCAGTCCTAAAAAAAATCTGATCTATTTTACTTGTTTTCTTTTATCATTAGATACAGATTTATCTTCCTACAAGCTATAATTCTAATTAATTAGAAGAGCTTTAGACTTAGAAGTCTGTCTCACTGGACCTGGTGTTTGTGAACAGAGGAGAACTTGAGGGTGAAGTGATGTTTGGAGGCCATCTTGGGCATAGTGATCACAAAATGATTGAGCTCTTAATTCTTGGAGGAGGGCACTTAATGCTTTCTTCACCTCAGTCTGGTAAGACCAGTTGTTCTCAGGGTACCCAGCCCCCTGAGCTGGAAGACAGGGACAAGGAGCGGAGTGAAGCCCAAATAATCCAAGGGGAAGTGGTGTGTGACCTGCTGCTCTGCTTAGACACACAAGTCTATGGGGCTGGGTGGGATCCACCCAAGGGTAGTGAGGGAGCTGACAGAAGTGCTCACCAAGCCACTCTCCATCATTTATCAGCAGTTCTGGCTAACCAGGGAGGTCCCAGGGGGCTGGAGGTTAGCAAATGTGACAGCCGCCTACAAGAAAGGCCAGAAAGAGGATCTGGGGAACTACAGATCTGTCTGACCAGAGTGCCAGGGAAGGCTATGGAGATTATTCTGGGTGCCATCGTGAGACACATACAGGGCAACCAAGGGTTCAGGCACAGTCAGGATGGGTTTATGAAAAGCAGATCCTGCCTGACTAACCTGTTTTTCTTCTATGACAAGGTGACCTGCCTAGTGGATGAGGGAGAGGCTGTGGGTATGGTCCACTAAGACTTCAGTAAAGCCTTTCACACGGTTTCCAGCAGCATCCCCCCGGCGAAACTGCCTCCTCACAGCTTGAGCAGGCATAGTCTGTGCTGGGTAAAAAACTGGCAGGATGGCTGGGCCCAAAGTGTAGTGGTTAATGGAGTTAAGTTCAGTTGGTGGCCAGTTACAAGTAGTGTCCCCCAGGGCTCAGTACTGGGGCTCGTTCCCTTTAATATCTTTACCAGTGATCTTGATGAGGGGATGGAGCACACCCTCGGGATGTTTGTGAGTGACAGGAAGCTGTGTGGGAGCATAGAGATGCTTGAGGGTAGGAAGGCTCTTCAGAGAGCCTGTTTAACAGATGTGTAGATGAGGTGTTTAGGGACACAGTTTAGTGATGGGCTTGGTACTATTAGGTTAATGGCTGGACTTGATGATCTGAAAGGTCTTCTCCAACCTAAAGGATTCCATGAAAATTAAAGGCTTAATGGTGATTTAAAGTGCTTCATTAATTTGTTTCCATTTCTTGTCCTGAAAATTCGGAACATGTTTAAACATGCAGAGGTAGAGTTAAAAGATACCCTGGATGAAAAATAGTTTAGTAACTATTTGAAATTGTAGTTGCCTAGGCTTCATTATTATGGTTTTATTTTTATACGTGTCCATATTTTTAAAGGAAAAGAAAGATAATTCCGTTTTGGTTCTTACCTAATTATAGCTTTTCTTATTTAAATAATCTTTGTGCTAAATCTCAGTCGTTAGGCTTGCTGAAAGAAAAATAACTTTACACTGTAGTGAGTATCCACACTCCTTTATATGTAATATTTAGTGGGAGGAAAGGACTTTTGATACCCAACTGGGCTACACCTATGCTCAGCAAAAAGTCATTAATGCCCTGAAAGCCACTAAAGTCCACAGTAGTTGGCATTTGCTAAAGGAGACTTGCTTTTCTTGGAGAAGCAAGCTTTTCCTGAAGAAAAGCAGGTCAAGTCAGTACAGCTTGTTCTGCTGAGTGTTTGCTGAGGATGTACCATCCCTTGAGGTATTCAAAAAATGTGTGGACATGGTACTTCAGGACATGGTTTAGTGGTCATGGTAGTGTTGGGTTGATGGTTGGACTTTATGATCTTGGAGGTCTTTTGCAGCCTTAATGATTCTGTGTATGTGCAGTTTGATGTATTTTGCAATTGAACAGCAGTATAGATATGAGAAGCATGGAACAGTAGTGTCTTCCTTGTAACTGGATGTCATTCAGTTTGTTTTGTCAGTCTCTGGGTATATTATCTCCCAAAAACAGTGAACACTGCAAAAAGAGTTGTTGTCAGTGTAGTTACAGTACACTTCCTGCCACATCTGGTTAGCCATAACTCCAGCTTGTGACCTTTTCCTGCCAGCAGCTGTGAAACAGCAAGTTCTTGGATAGGTAGGCATCGTGTACCCACCTAGCTACATGATGGGGCGAGGTGCTCATCTCTACCTAGGCAGGCAGTCTTGGAGTAAGTGGAGTGGCTTGCCTGAATAGAGTCTCAGTGCATGTTTGCCATTAGCACAGACACAATCATCGAGCATAGGCCATGGGGTGTGTTAAATTTGTAGGCTGGTGATGTAAATGGAGGACTCCTGCATAAAACTTTGTAAGGAAGCTGATTCTTAAGTTCTTAGCTGAGTCTTTTCAGACAGAGAACAAAATTCTACTATCACACATCTGTTTGTGCTAATGATAGGTCACATTTCTGTGGTTACATTAATTTTTTGTACATTTTGTAAGCCGATTAATTTATATGGTCAGAGTAAGAAAACCTTACATGTTGTCTAAAGAGAACTGAATGCATGACTGCGCTTGCATTTGATTATTTCTGGTATTTAGGAGAGAGTCATCGGTTTCCATGTCCTTGGTCCAAATGCTGGAGAAATCACCCAAGGGTTTGCAGCTGCTATTAAGTGTGGGATGACAAAAGAACAGCTGGACAACACCGTAGGAATTCATCCAGTCTGTGCAGAGGTTCGTATATGAAGTCACCCCATAGCCCAGTTTTTGTAGCATTCTGGGGTAAGGTGTCGGAAATCTGAATAGGAGATCTCTACTAAAGAGGTCCAACTTCAGGGTAAAGTAGGGGGAAAGGACAGAAAATTATCTGGTTTTAATATTTAGAAATCTTAACATTTAGGTTTAATCTGGCCTATTTTTTTTCAGTGTGTTCATTAGTGAAATGTTTATGATCTACCCTAATCCAGTGTGCTCCCTACTGGAAAATATAGAAATTTCCTCCTACTCAGAGATCGTTTATGAAGGCTTCAAATACTATTTCTGCTGAAGTGGTTGTCAAAGCTAATTTTTTTAGATATATATACTAAGAATAGGCTTGTAAAGTGGCACTGTGGAAGGTGAGCAGCCACATAATTTTTCTATTAAATTCTGCCCTTTTAAATATCCCTCTCCTTTACTCTGTAGGCCTTTGATTTTGAAGAACTTTGGAAATGTTTTTGAAACATTTTATCTTGTGTTTGTCTTGCTGTTCCTCTTCAACGATGAGCTTAATTTTCTCTGTCAGTTTGGGGACAACTCCTCCCAGGTGTCAGAGGTGCTCCACTAATTTTAATAGCACTGGGACCAATTTGTATTAGCTGAGGACCCCTGCAACCTCTTGTGTTACCTGCAGGGTGTTGCAAGAGTGCACCGAGATGCCGGTCTTCAGAAGTGAAGTCTGCTTCTCTGGTTTTGTGTTTTCAAAGTGGTGCAGTCTAAGCAATACAATGAACTCCATTCATTAATGTGATGGACTGCTAGCAGTCTGAACCATCTTCCAAGCATCTGCAATACAGATTCTGTTTTTTTTTCTGTAGTGTCATCTACTGGAGTTCATGGTGGCCCTTGAAGAGGGGTAGCAGGTCCTTATCTTGCCAGGGACCCCGTGGAGGGGGAACTCTGAAGGAGGCATTCAAACCGGTGAACTCAAATGGGATATTAGCATACGCAGTGTGAAGAGATAATGACAGTCATAATTTATTCTGGACATCTGAGCTGCTAAAATTGAAACTGCATAGAATATGATTAGACATAATTTAGGGAGGTAATTTCAGATAATCATATTTGAGTGGGGGAGGAAGAAATTGGCTCAGGAGAAATAAACTATTTAAAAGCTCCAGGGAACAGTGATCATTTTTAGTGCCAGTCTTCAAAAGGGTTTTTTTATGCCTGTTACTTAATTTAATCTCTTAAGCAGTAAAAAAAAAAATCAAAGTGCAAGATGGTACTCTTTGATTTTTAAAAAATTCTTTAAAATTGTTTGGAATTTGTGAGGACTGCACAGAATCTGGATGAATAGAATGATGGATAACGTTGGCGTTATTTTTATCTTACATCCATGTAAAAGCTAAGGAAAATGAAGTCTGAACTGGGCAGGAAGGGGAGAGTGTTGCAGGGTTAAATGCTGATGTCTTCACTGGCATTAGCATAATTCAGTGCTTGAGGAGTCTCCTGTGAAACGTGGTATTACTTCACCTGAAGAAGATGTGAGACTGAAGGAGGGTCCCGTTTCTCACTGCTTACAATTTAGAGCCAGATTTCAATTTTCTTATTTGAGCAGCATTTTATTCTGCAGAAAACAGGAGTTCTGAATGGAATTTCTTGCAAGGCAAACTACCAATAACTGGAGGTGGTAGGACCTCAGCCTTACAGAGAATTATGTCTTCAGCCTGGGCTGTACTCTGCTGCTCAAAATACAGACATGTATGATCGAGCACCTGTGATGAAGAGAAAGTGTCTTCTGAAAGCTGGGATGGTTCTTTGAGTTAGCTAACGATGGCTTTCCAGACGTTGGATCTCAGGTTCTGTCTTCACTTGAGTAGCTAACGTGTTCTGTCGAAACCCCTCATGTTTCCAGTAATTACCAGAGTCCCCAGCTGGCTGTGAGCGCTGAGGAGCTGTGTGGTCCCTGCAGCCGTGGGAACTGGCGAGCACACCCAGAACTTGCAGTCAGGCCAAGAAGAAAGCAGAAAAAATTTGCACTTTTTGATCTTTATCTTTCAAAGTGAAATAATAGTAAATGAAAAATCCCCATATGTTGTCAGTCTGTGGATCAGAACTGAAGAGTTACCAACCCTGTCTCAAGCCATGTGCTGTAGTTTAAGTATCTTGCTGTTCTTGTGCTGTGTGTGTTAGACGTGCATTTGTCTTCCTGATTTGTGCATAATGCTTTATGAACTTACAGAAGGTGGAAGAGATATATCACTCTTACTTTTCTCTGAAGAGCTGCTAGCAGCCTTAATGCAGCAAAGCTTCCACTTAGAGAGCTGTAGGGCCTTCAGATCCCCGTTGTCTTTAGGTACTTCAGTGTTATTTGCATAACTGAAATGAGTATGTACTTTATGCTGGGCTGAGTTTATTCTTCCTGAGAGATGCCTTTGATGATAGCTAATTATTGCAACTTTGAACCATTTAGGTGGAAGTGGTTTTGATTTCCTTTTTTCCTTTCTATATTATATCTATCTATGCAAAACTATGCAATTATTTGCATAGCAAAGTTCTAATATTAAAGAAGCTCTTGTAGAATTCTTGAATTTTGGTCCCTTTTCACTTCACAACAATTATTTTTGAATATGTTGTTTTCTTTAATACAACTTGAAAGTAGTAAAGACTTTTTCAAATTAGGTTTACTAAGTGTTTCTTAGCTATTGCTCTATAGTATCTAGAAAGGTACTGAGGCAAAATGCACGTTCTCTCCAAGTGCTGTAGCCTTGGGTTGACTTCACTTTCCCAACAAAGAGGTTCTCTTTGGGTCATAAAGATACCTACTAATTAGGTGTCTGGACTGGAGTTTATTATTGCTGAACTTGTTCCCACTGTAAAAACTTAGGAGCATTAAGACAAAAGGTGGTATAAAGCCATGTGACTTCCATCATTCTTTCTTTCCCTCTGTTAAATGAAGACTGTAACATAAATAAAAAGAACAAAGGGTATTTGTATGTGTGTGTGCTGTTTAGTATCAAGGATTTAAAATTTATGTTTTTCATTAGTATTTTATTACTTTAATAAATGGCTGTGGTTTTGAGCTTTATGCCCAAGTTGATCTTCCAGAAGATGATTTTTTAGCCATACTAAAAGTCTTCTTTTTTCTTTCTTTTAAGATATTCACCACCCTGTCCGTGACTAAGCGTTCTGGTGAAAATACCCTTCAGGCTGGATGCTGAGGTTAAAGAGCCCCCATTCTTGTTATTGCCAGAGACTGACTTTGATCGCAGTGTCTGACTCCTGCAAGTCAGAAGAAAGGTTTTGGGAGAAGTCAACCTCTGACGCCTGCAGAGATGCGTAGATCTTAACCAGGGCATGCCATCATCTGAAGGAGAGCTCTGTGGGAGTTGGTCACTTGCGGTGGTCGGCTGGCGATTAGCAGTGCAATGGGAATACTGACTGTCTGAGGAGCTGTCGCTCAGCAGGGCATTTAACAATGCTTTCATGAAGTCATGGCCTGAAGCCTGCATTGTCTGGTGGGCAGTGATGGAAGAACTGCTAGCACAGCTGAACAACAACTGCTTTGGTTTGGTTTTATTCCTCTTGAGCTTCTCACACCAACAAAGAACTTCTGAACTCAAAAAAAACTACCACAAGTGCAGATAATTCTGTAGTGCCCCTGTGTACTAGATTGTAACACAGCAATTGCAGGGGCTCCTCGTGAGCCTGTCTTTTACCAGCTTACATGTCTGTGGAGGGAAAATTGTACCTACGTGCTTGATCGTGAGGAAGGAGATACCCTTGGAAAAAAGTTTAGTACCATCTAGGGTTATGTATTTCTTGGCTTCCAAACTGACTCCTTTACCCTCAGCAAGTTCGCTGATGAC